AAGAGGGAGGGAATCACGCTAAGTAAAAGATAGTAAGCATGAAAATTACACCGAATTCTGAAGAAGAAGAAAAAAAAAAATGAAAAAAGAACAAAGAAAATCATATCAAATTATGAAATAATGCATTACAAACAAAAAAAAAAAGGTATCATCATAAAATTGTAACGTGTGCTTAATATAGAATGAAATAACTAATAATAATAATTATACCTCGGAGTTAACCGAATTTCGACAAAATATGAACTAAGCGTTTCCAAAAATATAAATATTTTCATCATAGTATTAACCTTAAATGGATTAGTTTAGTTTATTCAATGTACAAAATTAGAAATTTGATTAATTAAATTTCCTTTTTTCAAATAATTTTTTTTCCCAAAAAGTAAATAATTACCTCAAGATAATCATAAATAGAAACACCGCCTCACAATACCGTAATTAGGTTAGAATTTTAATTAAAATCAAGTTTTTTACCAGGTTTTTACTAATGATAATCAAACCAAAAAAGAATGATTTACCCCTCCAAAAAAATTCAAATCTTATTATTGCGCCCTTTTTTTTTTAAAAAAGAATTTATTTATTTATTTTTTTTATAAAAAAAAATGCAAATGAAAATGATTTACAAAAATGATCTACATTTGTTATAATACAATTATAATACATTAGTGTAATAGTGTAATAGTGTAACACAAAAAAGCTAAAATTAAAAAGGCTTAGATTAACGGTAGATCAAATGATACATTAAAAGAACACGTTAAAATATTTTTTTAATTCGGTAGAAATTATTTTTAGAATTATTTCCTTGCATCTTTTCTTTTTTATTTTTCGTAGTCACAACATTACAATGAGGTAGAATTAAAGGAAATAATATTGTGATTCAAATTAAGTCATTTATAGAGGAAAAATTTCTAAAAGAAGTAAAGAGAAGAAAAAATCACGCGTAATTTTTTTAAAAATGAATTCTTTATTATTAATCTTAAACTTTTACTTATTTACTCCTTAATTTCAAATTAATTAAATGCATGAATGAAACGGGTAAAATAGAATGAAAGAATTGAGAAGTAATTGATCGAGAATAAAAAAACGGTCTCAGACATATTAAGGCTGTGAAATCATACAAAATCATACGATTAATTATTTAAATGTTTCAGTGTTTCATATTTTTTTCTTCAGGACTTTTCTTTTTTCCCATTTTCTTTCTTCTCCAATTACAAGGAAAAAAGATCTTGGCATGATGATTAAACAACAATTAATAATTAATTAATGAATCCATTAATAATCTAATGGATTTTTTTTTTCGATAAAAATAATATAAGAAATTATAATAATAAATATAACAATGCCCCAATTTTATCAAATAATTATATTATTAGAATAAGACAGATTTCCTGGTATTATTTAAATGTGATAAGAATATAAAAATAGATTTAAATTATATTATCAAATATAATCAAACCAAATTTTTTTATTTGGGTTATTTGTTTCACGAATGACATCTAAGAAATTACGTCATTGTATATATGGTGCAATTTTCAGTGTTTGGTGATAAAATTTTTGATTATCACTTTTTTTAATAACAGTTACTTTTTTTGTTTTTGCGTTATTGTTTTTTTTTATTTTTCTTGATTTGTTTATTTTTGAAAAAAAAAAAAAATAATAATAATAAATTATTAAAATATTATTAAAAAATTTTAATTACCAAATATTTGTTTATCCTTCCCCTTTCATGTTACAGAAAAAAAATAATAGATGGTGAATAAATAAGCAAATAACGTGGAATTTAGAGTAATGATATAATTGTATATAATGTAACATTATAACAAGGATGATCTACTTTAAATTCTCTCCTTATGAAAAATAGTTTTGAGTTTCAGGATTTCTTACTAAAATGAGTACGAAACAATGTAATTTTAAAATATCAAATGTATAAAAAAAATGTATATACATGTATAAGAATTTTAATTTTAATTTTAATTTTTTTTTTTATAATAATAAAAAAAAAAATAATAATAAAAAAAAATAATAATAAAAATAATAAAAAATAATAAAAAATAAATAAAATTTTTTTAAAAAAATTTTTTTCTGTATTATGCATAAAAATCTTGATAAACTACATATATTCTTTAAAACCTGGTAAAGAGTTGTAAAAAAAAAAAAATATGAATTATTTGAATTATTCATTTATTTATTCATGATGCCATCTTAATTTATTATTTAGGCTAAACTATTTTTGTTATTTTGAGGGGATGATAAATGATTTAATACGTCATCTTATTATGAATATCATTATAACAGATATATCATTGTTTATTATATAACCATTGTCAAGTTAATCAAAAACTTTTTATTTTTAGAATTTCATAATTATTGGTTCTTGCCACTATAATATATAATACTTTAAAATTATAATTGTTTATTATTACATTATTAATTTACCAGTGTTATACGGTTATACTGATTTAAAAATATCCATGGTTACATATGATGCAATGATGTATTTGTTTATTATTCTATACATATTCCAACATATTCTTATCATGTTTCTCTGCATCATCCACATTATCCGAAAATTCCTTGTGCATGTTTCAGCCTTCAAAAGAAAATTCTATTTAATCAAGCCACCATGGATCTTTCATCTCATTTACTTAATTTAGTTTAGTGGCTGGTAATCATGGAAGTAATGGAACTAAGTAATTTTCTCTTTAATGTTTCAAATGTTGTGCCAAGTTTAATAAATTTGATGAATTTTTTCATATAAAAGAGTGTGAAAATGTGAATTAAAATGGGAGTTTTTTTGCCAGATTGTCAAGAAAAAAAAAAAAAAATGTAAAATGTAAAATGTAATTTTGTATTTTATATTTTCTCCCATTCTCCGTCCTCTCCTAGTTACTTTTTTGGTACCTTTGATGATCATCAAAGCATCAGATGATTTTTTTAATATTTGATAAATATGTTAAGAACGTCGTACTGATTTATGAGTCGATGGCTTAAGTAGGCTTAGTAAAAGATAGCACTTTTTTCAAATTTCTTTGTTTAACTTTATAGTTTACCCCTTTCATTGATAATAAGATAATGAATATTTTTACTCGCCACTTTGTCGATATTATTATAAATAGGTAAATTGAGTAACTTTCGGACGATAAGCCACGTATACTGCGGTAAATAATTAGCGGACAATTCCGTTAAAATAATTGATAAAGATATTCATAATATTCATAATTCGGGCGAGAAAATAATAATGTTAATGAAAATTTAATTTTCAACAATGATAATAATATTTAACTGATTATTTCTAAATAATCTTAATTGAACAACCAATAATATTTTTTATCTTATCTCATAATTTCCTACTTTTAGGAAATTTAATATCCATTCCTTAAACAGTAAACAAATCATATCTGAGAATTATCGGATAACAATTTTTTTTACAATGTAAAAAGCGAGATTTTATGATATCTCCTCTCTCTTTTTTTTTTAAAGATGGTTGATTAAAAATACATCTAATCTTTCTTGTCTAATTATTGTGGGGAAAAAATTAATAACCGAACTTTATTTAATTTTTCTTAATTTATCTTATTTTGTTTTAATTATGACTAACAAATATATTATTATATCATTCGAATAGAAAGAATAGAAAGAAAGAAAGAAAGAAAAAAGGTTAGAAATATGATGATTTTGGTTAAAAAATTTTAAATTCATGAAAACTTTATTTTTATTTTTTTCCCACACACACAACTTTTGTCCTATCCCAAGACATTATGCTACTAACGTAAATCAATTTTAATTTCAAATAATTTGAAAAAAAGATCGTTGAAATGCTGGACTGACGACCTATGAATAACTTCGGGTATTATAATGAAAGCACGTGCATTGAATATGAACTAAATATGGTAAGGCTGGAAAGGTGGCAAAAATAAACGTCAAAGGGAAGTGGCACATTAAATACAGGTATTATAATCCAATAATTTGGTAATTATAACTAAAATTGTTTGTTACACAATTTAAACCAACTTGAATTATATTTTTTAAAATTACAATAAAGACGGAAATTTGTCCGAATCTTTTTGATTACATTAAAAAACAAAAATCTATTTTTATCGGCCGTTGAGGTACTTTTAACTATTAGTTATCACTGTGATATTTCTAATAATGGAAACCATCATGCAACCTGATGTTATTTTAAATATTATTATTCAAATCCAAAAATAACTCAATTTTGTATCACCTCAAATGCAGAAAAAAAAAATATATATAACAACAAGGATGTCCTTTTTCTTTTCCAACACCAACACTTTTTAGCGTGTGTTTAAAAATAATTCAAAAAGTAAAAAAAAGTTAAAATATTTTTGAAGAAGTTCAAGTTCTTTTTTGTACTTTCACTTCTCTTCGTTATTCAAATCATATAAAAACTTTTTTTTTTTTTTTTTTTATAAAAGGGGTTTGGCGCAAAAATATCTTTTTTCTTGCACGCAATGTAGAAAAAGTTTAAAAAAATATTTTGCAAAAAAAGAAGAAGAAGCTTTTACTTTTTTTTATATATATATACAGTATACAATTATTATTTTTTTATATTAGTCTATAAACTATTACGATAAAAGTCTATTTATATCTCTTTTAAAAGAAAAAAATCACCCTCTCATAAAAAAAGTGTTTACTATTTTTGCATTACATTACACGGAATATTCGGCAAATCATTTTAATTTCTATTTTTAACCATTAAATGTAATCTGTTGTTACTATTACGGATATTAATTGTCATTTTTACATATATATATATCGATCTGTCTAAAATCATTCCATAAAAATTTCGTAAAAAAAAAAAAAAAAAAATTTTTCTTCGTAAAATCGATCATAAAAAAAAAAAATCGTATTTCTTTCTTTCTTTATTTTTTTTAACGACAAAAAACGAATATAATTAGCAATGGAAATTCAAACCGCATATCTTTTTCAAAAAGAACTCCCAGTTACTGATATTGATTATTATAATCCATCAACTACTACTATTCAACCAACTTTTGGATATTATAATTATTATACTCCATCTTATGGTTCCCCAGCTCAAAGTTCAAGTATAGGATCATCACCTTCACTTTCAGATTATGAACCTTCATCTGATGGTTATATAAGTTCTGGAGTTTCCTCACCAAATCTTCCAAATGAACAAACATATCTTGATCATGATAATAGAAGAGATGATTCTTATGAATTTTATACCCAAGATTCTACTCAATTATTTTCGAATTCTTTGGATGATATTTCTCAATATCAATATAATGATTTAACCGTTGATTCGGTTGGCGGTTCACTTAAACTCGATACAAATATTACTTCTACTAATCAAAATACTAGTACGAATAATTTTTTAAACGATAATTTTAATGGACTTTCTCCAAATACTTTTGCTGAATGTTTGTCAGTTGATCAACCAATGTTTAATTTTGTACCTGCTACTCCAATTACTCCTATAAAAGCTGCCGCTATTGCTGATAGTCTTTATCCTTATACTATGCAATTATCAACTTCTGATGATCAATTACCAACAATGGCAATTACAAACTCTCAAATAGATATTATGGAACAGGAAGTACAGGAAGTTCTCGCAGGAGTTCAACATCAACAGCAACAACAGCAACAGCAGCAACAACAACATCATCAACAACAACAACAGCAACAACAACAACATCATCAACAACAACAACAACAACAAGTTCAAGATCAACCAAAAAATAATAATAAGACAAATAATAGAAAATCAGATTCTAATGTATTACGTGGCAGAACTCGATCTACAATTTCTCATAGAGGTCATCGTAAATCTCTTCCAAGCGATATGGCAGAAAGATTACATACAATGAATTTGGCACCACCAAAACCTGCTCGTAAATCAAAAACTGCTGCACCATTTGCATGTCCTTATGAAGATTGTCCAAAAACCTTTACTCGTCAATATAATTTAAAAAGTCATTTACGTACTCACACTGATGAAAGACCATTCCTTTGTGGATATCAAGGTTGTATGAGAGCTTTCGCAAGACAACATGATCGTAAACGTCATTATAATTTACATTTAGGTTTCAAACCTCATGTTTGCAGTCATTGTAGTCGTGCTTTTGCTAGATTAGATGCTTTAAATCGTCATCTTCGTTCTGATAGTGGTCTTCCTTGTGCTCAAGCTACTCTTCCACATTCTGGTGCAAAAAAATTTAAACCAGTCAATATGTAGATGACTTTTCATGATATTCCAAAAACCAAAAAAAAACCAAAAAAAACCAAAAAAACCAAAAAAAAAAAAAATATTTTATTCGGCCTCGTATTCTTTTTACTTTAAACAATTTTTAGATTTTTATTTAAATTTCTGTAATTAGACTGTTGGGGACAATTGTAAATAATATTCAACGGAAAAAAATTCGATCATCTCGTTTAAAATTGGCAAATTTAATCTGAATAATATAACACATCGGCAAATTCTGAATTATAACATAGCATTTTTCGAGCATTTTTACGTTTTCTTATCTTTTTTTTTAATTCGTCATGATTTTCTTCCATTTTTTTTCACTTTTTTTTTTTTTTTTACGGATACCGTTTTACAAATCATCCAAAGACACTTCAAATAAAGAAAACAAAAAAAAAATATTTTTTTTATTATTCGACAATAAAAAAAACAATACACGTAATCTTTTTCAATTTAGTTTAATATAATATAATAAATAATAATCTAAAAAAGAACAATTCATAGAAAAAAATTGTTACTATCCCTCTAGACTACTTAACTACTTTATATAGACCACAAGATTTAATTAATGAACGTTTAAGATATAAAATTTCTTCCTATCATCCTATTATGGAAATAGATCGAGACGGAAAAAGTTTTTTTTGTGGTTTTAATAATTTATTATTATTATTATTATTATTATTATTATTATTATATTATAATTAATTAATTTATTTATTTTCTTTTTTTTTCTCTTTTTTTTTCTTTTCATTGCTTTATTTATTATTTTTATATATTTTTATATATTGTTATTATATTATTATTATCATATTATTATTATTGTATATAATTTACACATATATATATCTTTTTTAGCATTTTATCAGTTATATTTTTTTGTAATAAAAATTTGATCCTTGAGATCCCTTGGCATTAATAAGAATTGCATTTAATAACTGCCTGTAATTAACTGTAAATAATATGATGAAAATACTCAACTCCCAAGAAAATCAGCGGGGTTTGACTATTTTTACGTCATAACACTGATATCCAAGTTTTTTTTTACTTCCATGACCTCATCCCAAAAAACATTCCTGTTTAAAACCTAATCGGAAATTATATCATTATAACGCGGTTTTAAACTGTTTTAATATATAATGACAATATACTATTATATATGACAATGTACTACTGTATATGTATTATAATAAAAGGTTTTTAATCTCTAAAAAGGTACAATTTATATAAACAGGTTCAATTATATACTGGATATACCTGTGATAAAAGGTATACTGTGATAACAGGTTCAAATAAAAAAAATTTTTAAAATAAATAATAAAAATAATAAAAATAGAAATATATATTAATTTTTTTTTTTTTTTGGTAATTTATCTCATGACAAAGGATTTTATATTGTTTGTTACTAAAATTGGTATATTGGTATATTTGTATATTAAAATGGTTACATTGAGTTATATTAGCGGTATATAAGTATATAAGTATATATTAAAATGTTTATATTGGGTATATTGGGTTATATTGGGTATATTGATATATTTAAAATGTTAGTATTGGTGTTGCCATATTTAAAATTCTAAAATGGTATAATCATATTGATATATTAAAAAAGGAGATTTATTTTAATCGTTACTCAACTTATATATACGCGATTGATTTTCACGGGTTATATTATTAATTGTTTATGCTAAATATTATCTGTTTCTTTAGGGGTTTAAGGGGTGAATTTTTTTTTTTTTTTTCAGGGATAGGTTTATAAAACCCGTGAAACAATCAGAGAAACAAAATTCGCGTGATATTTAAGTGATAATACCGAGTATTTATTGATAAAACATGCGCAGCTTGCACTGCATTGCCTGCATTGCTTGCTTGCACACGCCATGCACATATGCGCCATAATTTTGGTATTTAAAAAATTTTAAATAATTTCCTTCAATCAAATCAACTAGATCGTCCTATGTTTTGAAAAAGCTGCGTATTTAAACTTTTTAATACCTGGGGATTGGTTATTATAATCACACAATACTTGCATATTTGTTTCGATTCTTTTTTCACTATTCCCAAATTCAATCAAATTATATCTTCTTCTTTTGGAAAATAATTGTATTTATAAAATATTTTTAAAACATTGTTTTAAATTAGCAAACAATATGCAATAGTAGCATATTTACTACTAAATCGGTTGAAAATTTCCCGAATAAAAAAGGTAAAAAAATAATTATGGTATTAAAAAGAAAAAATTGAAATTACATTGAAAGTTTTGTTTTCAATGAAATGTGGTTTTATTTTTAATACTTTGATTAATAATATAATTATATAATTCCAGTTATTAATATAATTCAAGTTTCAATTACTTCTCAATGTACAAATAATATTCAAACATTGATTTATTGATTAAAAAGTATAATTAATTACACAAATACTTTTTTTTTAAATTAATCCAACTTTGATATATTACATGACCTTTCCTATTGAGCGATTCTATGTTTAGAATACAGAACTTTCTCAAAGTTTCATCTCCCTAATTTCATAACTGATTTTGGATGATTTTTATTTTTTTTAAAAAAAAAATTTTCGTCTTATTTAAGAATGTAATAGTTAGTATTTTCTATGTTCAATTAATTTTATACAACAACTTTTCAAAACCAATTAGATTATTTTAACGTTAATAAGGTTAAAATCAATTCTTAAATATTCTTTATTATCTATTAAAAGTAAAAAAAAATTATAATTATTAAAAAAAAAGTTATTATACAATATTTCTATTTTCGTTTCAAAAAAAAAAAAAACATTGAATTATTTATTAATTGATTTTGGATTGCAAAGTACTGCACATAATTTTTGTTTCTGTACGCCGATCATTTGTACATTATCAGTTTATGAATATCAATTCGTATGCTTTTTTCGTATAACCATTGGTTAAATGAATTGCCCAATAACATTTATCTATTCTGTTTGATTCTATAAATATACAGTATATGATTTGAAACTATAAAGAGTTTAATAATTGAACGAAAATATAAAAAAGGTCAAAAAAAATTAGTTTTACATATTCTAAACTTGATTCAGTATAATAGCCTACAATTTAATATCTATAATTGATCAACTACCGACGCACCAAATTTTTAACCTAATTGGTTTTAACATATATTGGAATTTCGGCTACGGCCAAAGGCCAGATTTTGCCCAAAAGTACCCAAAAGAAATTTTTTTTGTGCTATTACCCACTCTCCCCCCAAGTGCAAAAATTCGTTAATATCGAAGTTACACAGCGTGCAACGTTTCAGATATTAGACTGAAAAGAACAGATACCTACAAAGAGATTATACCTGTGGCGTACACCACCTCATGAATTAGTACCACCATATCATAAATTAGCAAAGCTTGACGCTCAAATTCAAAATTTTATTTTAATATTTTAACCCCAGTTGTATTTTATACTCTAACATTAAAAATTTTAGAAATCTTCTGCTTACCCATCCTCTCTATTTTTAAAAATCTAATTATATTTATTTCATTTAGTTAAATATTATTATAAAATCTGTAAAAATTATAAATACTCAATAAATAATGTAATATCACAAGTTCACAACATGATAGAAAGAACTTCTGGAAGAAAATTGAAGGATGATATGTCAGGATTTAAATTTTCAATGTACAGAACTTACAAAATGGACATAGTTTCTAATAAAAATATTAAGCAAATTACTGATTATTTATAATTGCAAATTATAAATACTGATATTAAAAAAAAAAAAATTTCTTTGTCAAGTAATTAGAAATTGTAGTTTAGATCATAAAAAGTAATGATTGTAGCTTTAAAGCAAAGTGATAAATAAGAAATCAAAATAAGTCATCACTTCTATTAAAAAAATTGTAGTTTACAGCAAAGTGATTTATAGGAAATCAAAATAAGTCATTACTTCTTGATTAAAATCATTTTTCATTCATTCTATTTTACTTCTTTCAAATATTTAACAATGTCTAATATTTATGAAATTATTAATAGTCTTGATTTCAAACAAAAAGAAGATAAAAAGTGATGATTGTAGTTTTAAGCAAAGTGATAAATAGGAAATCAAAATAAGTTATCATTTCTATTAATAAATTGTAGTTTACAGTAAAGTGATAAATAAGAAATCAAAATAAGTCATTACTTCTATTAAAGTTGTAGTTTACAGCAAAGTGATAAATAGGAAATCAAAATAAGTCATCATTTCTATTAATAAATTTAGTTTACAGTAAAGTGATAAATAGGAAATCAAAATAAGTTATCATTTCTATTAATAAATTTAGTTTACAGTAAAATAATAAATAGGAAATCAAAATAAGTCATCATTTCTATTAAAATTGTAGTTTACAGCAAAGTGATAAATAGGAAATCAAAATAAGTCATTACTTCTTGATTAAAATCATTTTTCATTCATTCTATTTTACTTCTTTCAAATCTTTAACAATGTCTAATATTTATAAAATTATTAATAGCCTTGATTTCAAACAAAAAAAAAATAAAAAGTGATAATTGTAGTTTTAAGCAAAGTGATAAATAGGAAATCAAAATAAATTATCATTTCTATTAATAAATTATAGTTTACAGTAAAGTGATAAATAGAAAATCAAAATAAGTCATCACTTTTATTAAATTGTAGTTTATAGCAAAGTGATAAATAGGAAATCAAAATAAGTTATCATTTCTATTAATAAATTGTAGTTTACAGTAAAGTGATAAATAGAAAATCAAAATAAGTCATCATTTCTATTAATAAATTGTAGTTTACAGTAAAGTGATAAATAGGAAATCAAAATAAGTCATCACTTCTATTAAAATTGTAGTTTACAGCAAAGTGATAAATAGGAAATCAAAATAAGTCATTACTTATTGATTAAAATCATTTTTCATTCATTCTGTTTTACTTCTTTCAAATCTTTAACAATGTCTAATATTTATAAAATTATTAATAGTCTTAATTTCAAACAAAAAGAAGTTAATAAACTAAAATTCAGAAGAAAAAGCAAGATTGCTATTGACCCTTAATATTTAATAATCACCACACTATCACCACAAAATAAAAGATATTAAAAAAATTTATTTATTTTTTTATTCTTTAAAAATTTATCTATTATATAATACTAGCTGTTGAATCCGTTGCTCCGCAACGTCAGATAAACATACACGTGATTGGTACGACGGTCAAATGTTATACACGATTTTATATAGTCTTTCGGGTGCACAGGTATAAATTCATAGTCTAAACGTTACAGATACACAGGTATAAATTGTAGTCTAAACGTTACAGGAACACAGATATAAATATGTAATCTAAACGTGACTGTCACACAGGAAAACAATTATTATATAGTAGATATTTGTATATTATTATAAAAATTAATATTATATATTATTTATATTATTTGCAAATTTTAAATAAAATACTATATATTAAAATTGTAATTAGTTAAAATGGATTTAAAAATTTAATTTACATAAAAAAATTTATTTAATATTTTTAATTATATATATTTGAAAAGTGGGATTTAATACTAATTAAATTAGAATAAATGGTGAAAAAAATAAAAATATAAGTAAAAATAATAATAAATCAAATTTTTTTACATTAAATATTATATTTATAGTTTTTAATAAATATATAAAGTCATATTATTATTATTTAATTATATTTTTTATTTATTTAAAAATAAAAAAGAAAATCAAAAAACTATTAACAAGCTAAAGGACTGATTGGTTTAAATATTATTATTTTTGGGGGTTTATGGTCTATTAAGTATTAATAGTAGGACATTTATATTAAAAATACTTATTTTACATATAATATACTTATAGGATCAAAATGATTATTTAATAGTATACATATGGAATTTCTTTTTATAAATAATATAGATTAATTATATTAGAATAGCATATAATTTTTACCCTTTTATATAAATTTTTTTTATTACTTTAATAAATTTACAAATGTACATGTACTATGGTGGCTGTCACCTATAACCACACTAATATTTAAATGACTTCAAATTTTTATAAATTGTAAATTAAATAGTAAAAAGAAAAAACTAAACCGATAAAATGATAGAGCAACATGTACTGAACATTTCTATCAGATTATTTTATAGAATTTAATAAGAATTTTAATTAATATTATGGGTTAAAGTTGGATAATTTTAATAAGTAGCAATAATAAAAATATAAAATTTCAGACTAGTTTTTGTGTAATTTTTATGGATTTTACAAAAATTCCATGGAAATCCACAAGAATTCCATGTAATATAGCAAAAAAAAAATTTTGCTGTTCACGACTTCACGCAGCAATTAATATTTTAATAAAGTACTTTAAAAAATAAGTTACACAATATAAATAAATAAATTTCAAAATTTCGGACTATTGTTGTTTATACTAGGTGATAGCCACCATACAGTTAAAAAAAAATATTATTATTTTAACTAAGGCCAAAGAAATAAAATTATTTGTTTCTCATGAAAAAAAATTGCTAAATTTGACCCGGCCGCCTGGAAAAAAAATTTATTTTCAAAAAAAATTTAGCTGATTCCTAGATGATGATTGGTTGATTTAATAAATTTTTTGCCCGGGTCACTGGGTGGAAAAAAAAATCATTTTTTTATGATTATGATTGGTCAAAACCAAAATCACATAACCAAATAAAATAAATTTTTTTATCTTTTCGTAACATTTACATGATCCGCCCGGTCATGAGAAATGAATAAATTTATTTACTTGGCCTAATAAAAAATTGATTACTTTTTTTTAAAAAAATAAAAAACTTTAGTTTTTATTTAGATTTAATTAATATATTATTTAAAATTTATAATTTATATTTTACAATAAATTAAATTATTATAATTATTAATTATTTTTTTTTTTTATTTATCCTTATAGAAATTGATATTTAATTATGGTAAAAAGTTTACGTAATTATAAACATTAACCTCTAAAATACTTCACTCAATTAGCAAATATTTCTAATGAACTTATATTATTAATTATTAAATTTATTATTATTATTATATACAGTATATTAAAAACTTTTTTTTTAATTAATAAAAATACTTATTTTTTTTTTTAAAAAAAAAGATTTAATAATAAAATAAAAATGAATACCATTATATGAAAAGGTAATAATATTTATTTTAATTTTTACAATTATTTTATTATTTAATTTAAATAATTTTTTTTCATTTTGTAGTTTTTATTAAAAATTATAAAGAAAAAATATTTATTAAAATTAAATTATTAGATTATAATAATAAGATAATTGCAAAAAATTAATAAAAATGCAAAATCAAATAATATAAGATTTATAAATATTTAATTAGTTTAATAGCCAATATATAAAAAATATTAAAAATTATAAAATATAATACTTAATACTATAATTATATAATTTATATATTTTTTATTTGTTACTTTAACTTTTTTATTTATATTATTAGTAGATTAGTTAAACTGATTTTATTAATATAATAATTAGTATATTTTATTTAATTCTGCAATATATACTTTATATATTTATATAAGTTTTTTGAAATTTTTTATTTTATAATATTTGCAATATAAAAAAAAATAGTACTGATTAAATCTTTTTTTCTGATCATCATTTTTAAGGATGCTAAGCAATTTTAATTAGTATAACTTGTTTAATTAAACTATAGAGAAAATGCATACTATAATCTTAAGTACTAATAATATATATGATTTAGTAAAATTAGTTAGTATTACTAATTAAGACTTCTATTTATATATTTACAACATTATTACTATTTTAAAAAAAATAAATAGTACCAATTTAACAATTTTATTTAAAGAATATTATTAATTATTATACATTAGATTTGTTTTTACTGACTGTTATTTAAACTTTCTAAAATTATGATGATTATTTCTTTTTCTTAAATTACTACTGTTTATATGATTTGTAAATTTACTGCGTACAGTATAACTCTTTACTATTTAAATTTCTTTGCAATATTATAAGCATGTATATCTTTTAAAAAATGTCTTTATTATTATATTGTAGTTAATATTAAATGCTATTTCATTTATTTACTTTTATTTTTTTTCCAATAGAATTTAGAAGTTTGGAATATATTATTAGTAACAAATTATTTTTGTGATATTCGTGATATATCAGATATAATATTTCGTGTACTTTGTGTACTTTTGACTTATATTAATGCAGATAAAAATTTTTTTTTTGATTGAAATAAATATTGTTAATTTTCGCGAAAATGTTTTCTAAGATAATGTATTAATTAATGTTATGTTTCTTGTGTGGTATTATTTTTTTTTAAAAAAAACATGATATTTTATTTATGTGTAAATAAATTATAGAAAACTTATTGCTTAAATTAAAATCAAATCTTAAACGAAGTAATTGATTTTTAACTTATCTAACATAGCACGAGCTTTTGGTTGACCCTTAATAGCTGCCAATTTTAAATAACTTAAACCTTTCTCTTCATCCTTTGAAATACCCAATTTTCCATTGAAATATAAATCACCCAAATTAAATTGAGCTGCAGTATTTCCATTATCAGCCGCCATAGTTAAGTATTTCACAAAATCTTCTAAATTAAATTTAAGTGGACTATTTTTATCTGATAAAGCAAACGCATATCTTAATTGGGCATCAGGAACCCCTTTATCAGCAGCTTCTCTAAATAACTCAACTGCTTTACCTAAATTTTTATCAACTACATAACCTTCCCAATAATAATAACCAAGCCAATATTTTGCAACTTTATTATTTATTTCAGCATGTTTTTCAAAACAATCAAAAGCTTTTTTTCTGTCTCCAATCTTATGAGCTGATATTCCATCTTCAAGTTTCATCATTGGCAAAATAAAATCTATTTGGTCTAAATCGAAATCATCTGTATCTCCTGGTGGCAATTCAATAGGTGTTACTTCCATTTCGCTTCTTCTCGGATTTAATCCTCTAGGTGAACGATCTGAAAGTAAAGGAGAACTCAAATTTTCGAGATCATTGAATAAATAACTTAATTCTGGACGAAGAGATGGATCCGATTGCCAGGCTAAGAATGCAAATTTAATATTTAATTATTAATTTCACTTAAAGTAAATAATTTACTGAATTGTTATTTTAAAAAAGATAAACCATACCAGCTTTAATAATGTTGCCATATTCTTTCTCAACTCCAAATGAACTTAAAGGAAAATTTAAATGTTCTCTTTTACCATTTAATACATGTTTTTGAATTTCAGAAATTTCCATATCTTTGTATGGAAATCTTTGAAAAGCTAATTCCCAAAGTAACATTCCAAAACTAAGAAAAAAGAAAACATATTAATTTAAAATATTTCAAATAAAAATAAGTCAGTTTTCAATGCTATATATTTACCTAAATATCTCACATTGTATGGTATATGGAACATAATCATCATCTTTCCTATCTTTCTTACCTTCATCTTTATTCGGTGCCTGTTGTGCTGCTGAAACAGCGGCTGCAATTTCTGTCTGTATTTTCTTTGAATTCATTTTCTCAGGTGCTAACCAACGAACGATTTGTGTAAAATTCCCAATGTTGGTAGTATTTGCTTGTAAAGCACGACTATACTTGAAATTCGAAATTTTTGGTTCCAGATTTTCGGTTATCAATATATTTTCACATCTAATGTTGAGAATTTACTTTAATTATCATTATTCAAATTCTCATGAATTCAAGTATAAAGTAAATATTTACCTAATATCATGATGTAAAATTTGACTACATCGAGTTTTCAGGTAATTGTGAGAAATATAATATAATATAGTTAGTAATCTAGATTCAGAATATCAATCAAATTGCATTTTTTTACTAACCATCCATGAAGAAAAGTAATCCCACGACAAATGTTTAATGCAATTTTTAATTTTCGAGGCCATTCAATTTCATATCTCCCATATAGTTCTCTCAAATTTCCATTCTCTGCCCATCCAAAAACACCCAAAACACTTCCATCCTTTTCACATAATCCATGAAAATTAATAATGTAATCGCATTTCCCTAAATTACTCAAAATTGCCAATTCAGCATGAACCCTATTTGAAATTGGTGGAACTGTTTCCGTTAATTTTTCAGATTTATCAGATTTATTTTGTTCCTCGGCAATAAGTTTACATGCTACATCCTGGCCTCTATAAAGTTTTTTATGTATCTTATGCTTGTTACGTGATGATAGAACTTGACTACCACCAACAGGTTCTTTTAACTCATTTGAATCAATTCTATTGATAATAGGGTTGAAATCTTTTTCGGATGATTTGCCTTTTAAAGTTAAGATGTGTTCGAGAACATTACTAATCTTTTTATCAATAGTTGTTACGCCACCTTCAATTTTTTCTAAAAATTTGGTCATTTCGTCAATATCTTCTTGTAACATAGCGATATCCGACTGTCTTTCCTCCTCATTAGCAATTACCATTGCCAGTTGTAAATCCGCTACAACACTATCAAAATCTGTAATTAATTGTTGAAATCTCTCTTTAATATGAACGCTTGAAATAAATTTTCTGTAACCAGATAAATGAGTTACATCTTGAATAAATCCTTTAATTTCTCTCAGAATAGCAACAAATCTTTCAAAGTTATAATAATATGATTGATTGCGAAATTTTTTTTCATTTTCTTGTTTACGCCGATTTAATGCTTGAACAGCTACTTCAGCTGCTTGTACTCTTTCAATTAATGCTGCGCATGATTTCTTATTATATTGAGCACTTTCATATGCTTTTACAATTTGTTGTGTAAGTGAAGCTACTGCTGTTATCAAAGGAAGATAAGGTCCAACAGCCTCTCCTACATTGCTCACAGCTTCTAAAGCAAATTTAGAAGTGTCTGCTAAAGTTTCTTTAGCTTCTTTAAGTCTAGGGTTTCTAGAAGAACCATTAGAAGACTGTGATGGTGATTCTGCATTGCTGCTTACCGGTATTTTTTTTTTTAAAAAAAAAAAAAAAAAAATCCGGAAATTCATTGTTTATATTTTGTTTTTAAACGGAATTAACATTCCTAGATATTTTCAAAAAAGGAAATCGATAAAGTCAAAACAACACGTATGCGCCGATCCATATACTTGTATACTTTTTTGTGAAATTTTTTGAATTAATTCATCCTTATTAACTTATTAAATACATAAAAATAGATTTAAATCTCAACTATGTGTGTTTACATAAGGAATTTTAGTGTATGCGATAGGACCATGTATTGTAGACAAAACAAGCTAAGTCCTAAGAGCTGGGTTTGACTGTAATAAGAATAGCAATAACAAAACTTTAACGCCAATCTTTTTTTCCGTTAGTCATTTTAGAACTAAACAAATGTTTGGGTCTTTTAACTTTAATACTTCTATCAGACTCCCCAACTTTAGCAAGCAAATTAGATTTTCTCTGGGAGAGTTTCTTTTGTTTTTCAGTTTCCTTTTGTTGCTGTAAAAGATAACAAAAGATAACAAGTAAAATTAATAAAATGCATTAAATTGTCTATATTTAAGTAAAAATAATAATAAAATTATGTACTTTAGTATCTGCTAACCCGGCAATACTGCGGTCACGTACAGCACTTTTTGAACGAGCCACACTTATAGAACGCGAAGCTTGTGGTGATGATGGTGGATAATCAACATCCATATCATCTGTCTCTGTCCGTTTACGCTTCCGAGTTAGACTACGACCACGAATTGCACTTGCATCCAATCCTAACTGACCTAGTTGTTCTTCCATCTCTTCAACGGACTAAGTAAAAAAAAAAATATTGCTAGCGAGAAACCTAATAAAATCTAAAAACATTAATTTGATAATTATACCTTTGTGATTACAGTTCTAGGCATAACAGGACGGTTTTTCATCATCTTCTTAGCCCTATGAGCTTGTATGATTAATTTCTTTTTCTCTTTAATAATTTCTGCTAGTCTCTTTGTTTCTTCTTCTTCCGAATCAACCTAAACAAAATAATTTTCATGAACACATAAATAAATCATGAAATGATATGTGTTTTTAAAGTGTGTGCCACGTACCATTTCCTCTGCAGAATCATAATATCCCTCAGCCTCGAGTTTCTGTTCCTCACGTTCCAATGCATCCAATTTTTCTGCAATATCAGGATCAACGAAATCTATTATATTCTTTCCATCTATAATTTCTGGAATCGCATCATATTTCCATTCATCGTTCTTTAATAAGTATTTTTCTAAACAATATGTAATTTTATGTTAAGAAATGTAAAACCTTTTGCAGTTTCCGTTAATATAGTATATCTCAAACTCACTCTTTAAATCGACACTAAAAACACCTGGACCACCACCTTCTGCTTCCAAATCTCTTTCTAATTTACGTCTTTTAGGATCTTTCATATCATATAATGGTCTACCCTTCACTTGTTCGGGAATAAAGGGTGTTCGTGGTATATCGTCACGTGCTATTGGTTCTGCAAGATGAATCTTGTTGATGACCTCGTTGATCTTATTTCCTTTAAGTTTAAAATCAACACGAGCCGCCAACAATTTATCGCATGCCTAACAAACAAAAAAAAAATAAGCGAAATGCAGGCTAATAGTGAGTGATCTCATATAACTAAATCCTTACAGTGTTTCTCACGTCTATGACACCTTCATCTGTATGGCAACTTAATTGAACTATCTGGGCACCATCTCTTTCGGCAATTTCTTTCAACATAATTTGCTCATCTTCAGGCAAGTCTTCCGGACGCGTAACGTCAATTTTATTGATGACAATAAACGTCGGTTTATTGACAAACAAGGGTTTGACGTTTTGATACAGTGTTATCTATAAAAAAGCGATTGTAAGAAAATATTCCGGAAAGAGAATCATAAAAAAAAAACATATGACCAACTTGATCTTTAACACTATATCCACATTGTTCTGAGAGATCCATAAAAAACATAATACAAGCACGAAGATGGGCTAATGCTGTAACTGATTGCATTTCAATTGTATTCATTTGTTCAAGTGGATGATCTAATATGCCAGGTGTGTCAATTACCTAATGAAAAAGAAAATTATTATATCTTTTATAATATAAAATTAGGTCGGACATGATCCCGAAATTCTTTGTGATCATTCCCTCATTGTCTTTACCAGCATTATAAGTTATTTTGAATTTATATTTAGTTCCAGGCTATGCTAACATATATTATGGATTTGTTTATAAATAATTTTCAATTTCGGGATCCATCCTAATCTGTAATATGAATTACTTACCTGCCACCGAAGGTATCTATAATCCATATGTCCAACAAATAATGACTTTGTTGTAAAGGCATAAGGCTGCACATCAACATCTGCCCTAGTGATTTTATTCATGAAACTCGATTTTCCAACATTTGGATAACCGCAAATCAAGAGCGTTCTAGTGTTTGGATCTATTGAGGGTAGACGAGCCAAGTGCTGACGAACCTGCTCTAGATAAACTAAACTATCCTTCTGGCGTTTCATGATAGTGGCCATCCTGAAATTTTAAAAAACTTTAAACGACCTTTGCATATAAATAATTAATTCTACATGGATAAATAATACCTTCCAAGTGCAGCCTTTTTTAATTGTTTGCATCGGTATAGCGAATCACCAAACTTTAATAAGCGAACATATTCCTTAGCAACTTGATCGATTAAATGACGTGCAGTATTTATTTGACCCAATGCTATTTTATAATGATCTTTGTCGTATAATACGTTCATCAAATCCGAATAAAATGGATGAATATCCTAGAAAAAAAAAATTGTCATAAATGAGGAAATAAAAATTATCAAACAACCTCTTATAATATCTTACATCGAGTTTGGGAAATTCTTCGAGCATTGCTTTCAATTTTTCCTCAAAACTATCTTGAGTAAATTTAACCTTACGCATATAAAACTGTCTTATCCTTCCAATTTTGTAATTCTTGTGAATTACGGTTGGAGTTTTTCTTTGAGTTTTTGAAAGCACAATATCCAAAAAGTCATTAGCCGGTGGAACCGGTTGAATTCGTTTAAAGTTATATAATGCCATATTGAATTAGAACACGAGTTGTCTCGCAAAAGAAAAAAAAAAAATCAAACAGCTCGAGAAAATTTTGATGTTACAAAATTATGCGAATCTTGATTGGTTGACAAAATCGTAGATTTTAGATTTTCTAGATTTTCTTTTTTGACAGTAATTTTGAAATACTAACTTTCACTCAAATTGACGTTTACCTTTTCGTAAACTTTATTACAAAAATTTAAATATATAAAAGATAAAAAGCATACAGTGTATGAAATCCTCTTTATTTAATAATGGCGTTTAAACTTGCATTATCAAGGTTTAAAACCCCATTTATACCAAAAGCTGAAGTTCTACAAAAACCTTCGATATACATACAGCATTATTCAATATCAACAAACAATTCATCTCCCCAACAAAGGAAGTTGACTTGGAACGAATATTTTGTATTAAGGCGTAAAAGACGAATAACTGAACGGTTAGTTACAATTCCAACGGCACTTGGAGGTTTCGGGATTAGTTTTGCTTATTTTGCTTCTAAGGAATTTGATCCTACTCTAATATGGGGACATGATCCTCTTGTGATTTATGGATTTGGGACTATTTTATGTGGTTTTACTGGATTAATGATTGGACCTGTCATTGGAAGTTCAATTTGGAAATTGTTTCATAGGAGGGAAGTTGAATTAATGGAACAGGTACGTGACTTAGTTTTTATTATGGGGACTCGCCTCATATTCACTTACTAAATAGATCTCGTAAAGAGATATTTTATGTGATTTATGTAACATTTTTATTATTACTCATATTTGAAATTTCAAATTACATTAGAGCGATCGAGATTTCTATGCTCACATTAAAAAGAATAGAGCGGATCCATCTTTACACTCACTTCGAAACCCAGCACCTGATTATTACGGTGAAAAAATTAAATCTGTGACAGATTATCGTAGATGGTTGAGGAAACAAAGAGATATTATTAGAAAGGGAACATTTCATCTTGGAGAGGAGGACTAGATTAAATATATTTTTATTTCAATAAAGGTCTATTACCATATAAAGTATTAATAATATTAATTATTTTGATAATATAATAATTGTAATTAAATAATAATTGTAATATTGAGTCCCTTCTATTATATAATCACCTCAATTTATATTTTAAATCGACTTAATTAATGTTTTAACGATCAATTGGTTATTACTGATTAGTGATCAATAATCAGAAAATTTTTCTCCTTGCTACTAGAGGTCATTGCAAGAAGCCGAGAAAGAAAAGGCAAGATTCTACGGTTTGCCTTCAAAAAGATTTCCAAATTGTCACTTTACGCACCCAATATTGCCGTGAACCACTTTGTTTTCTCATAAGACTATTACTATTGTTCCAAATCGACCACATCACAAAGGTTTAGCAAAATCACCATCCAGTTATGTGTAACAAAGATATAATCATTATTGAACAAAAGAGACTGTAAAAGTTATGATGGATTCAAAACTGATGTATAAGAGAGAACTTGGTTAGAAATTACGTGGTTATAAGGAGAATTCATCTGTGAAAACTGTGTCTATTTATTTGTAGAACGAGTTGATATTATGATAATTAAAAGACCACTCAATGTAACCTTCACGAAATGGCTGGCATTAAACATATCAGCTGGCATTAGGGGTGGTGTGCTAAATATGAAAAGTAAATAAAACTATAAAGCTTTTGTCATTTTTACAACCTTTTTTCCTGAAATTTTATTTTTTATACAATTACAATTAGAGCTATTTTTGAAATATCAGAAAAAAATTATATATATATATATATATATACAGTAAAAGATTTTGATTTTTCTTATTCTAATACTATATATTTTCATTATTATTATAATTATTTTTTAATATTCAATTAATTAATAATAAGAATAAATTCAATTTTAATTATAATTTCCATAATTATATCCAAGAGAATGCATAGTTTATTTCATTCTTTCTCCTCCATATATTTCCTTTATTTTCATTGTTAACTTGCCATTTAATATTAAATGACAAATATAAAAAATCAAAAGATCTTTAAAAATTTTGGTAATATTTTCATTTATTTTAAAATTAATAAAAAACTTTTTTTTTTTCCTTTTCGTTTTTAATTGATATATATATATAACTCTAACCTTAATCTTAATTTGCAAAAAGTAGATAATAATTTAAATACATTTTTATATAATAAGGATATTTCTGAAAAGATTACAATAACTAACTGAAATTGCCAATATAAACTATAATCTAACTAAAATGTAATAGTTTTTATTAGCTCTTATACTTGTATTATTAATATCTTTAATTTGAAATAATAATGCTATCTGGCCATTCACATGCCATTTTGCTGATGGGTGGAGGAACTCTGTAGGGATTACAGAGGGGTTTGATCTTATATATTACTTTTTTGTTTTTGGTTTTTTTATAATGATAATACAGTCCATATCGGCATTAGTTTTGTGGTTTATTTCGCTTAGACTATGAGACCCGGAGGGCTAAGAAAAGATTCTTAGTAATTTGAACTATACTCGTATAGCGATATAACCGCCTGACTGTGTACACATGGGGTTTTCGTAAAGAAATGACAAGTGGTTTATAGGGTATTTTTTAGTCTTAGTAGTTAGTCCTCTTATGTACTTTTGTATATTTGTAAATACTTCGACTTTTTCTCAATAAATGTGCAGTGGTTATATAAAAAAATAATAAAAAAAATAATAATAATGCTATATTTATTATTTTTTGGAGATTTTATTTCATAATAAAAGTATATCTTCTCATATAAAATTGCTTTAAATTTTTCTTTGCAGATTTATAGTCAATTGCATTAAAATTATATAATATTACTTTTCCTTTCAAAAGATTTTTGTGAAAAAATTTTTAATTTTAGAAGAAAAGCAGAAAAGCATAATTATAAAGTTCATTAGGAAATTCTTTAATATTATTTTCTGCTTTTTATAATCTCAATTTATAAACTATAAAAATAAAAATAATTCAACTATTAAACTCTTTTTAAGATTTGATTTCTACAAAACCTTTTTAAGTACTAGAAAACGGGAACCGTTGTAAGTCCAGAGCGAGGTATAATAAATAAAAATGTAGCGATATATTCTACTAATTAGCAGCATAACGCCTTGGAATTCTGGTAATTTTCTGCTGATTAGCAGCATAACGCCTTGGAATTCCTGGACAGAGAAACTCACGTGATTGAAAATTTACACGTTATTTCCATAGATCATCATAGTGCGTAGACATATATAGTCCTTTGCTTTTCTCCGGACAAAAAGTATTAAAATCATTTAATATAAATAAGAATATTAAAATAGATATAAATTTAAATATTACTTTTAATGACAGTAAAAGTTTAAAAGAATAAATAGTAATTAATTGTTCTTTATTTTTAATACAATAAGAAAAGTAACCATATATATATAATGAAATAAATTTTGAAATCAATTGAAATTGTAGTAGTAATATTAATATATTAAATTTTGAATTATTAAATTAGTGATATTTGTTTACTATTTTTAAACCTACTAAGAAGCTTTCATTTAAGAAGATTCATAAGCTTATTAATGGCTTGAAATAACTTTGCAAATATGATATGTATAAAGGATAATTGTATTTAACTAAATTCTTAAAATCACTAAAATATTTATTATATAATGCAAAAAATCTATACTTAACAATTATATAACTATACAAGTTTCCAATAAAAAATAAGAATTTTTGGATAATAAAACATATATTACATTATTTTACATATAATATTTCATGTAAAAATAAACTTTTATTTATTTGAATCAAATTAATTAAGAAAGTTGTAAATCTGTGGATAAATGAAATTATATTTATTAGTCCATTAATCCATTAACCTTTTAATATTTTCAGGTAGCTGACAATATGATTTATATTTATTAACAGCTTACTTGGCAGTTTTACTCTCTAATTCTTTATTGTATGCATCCATATACTTCTATAACTTGCATACAAACTTATAAATAGTTGTTACAGAAAATGCCAATAAAAACTTCTAGAACTTTTCATTAAATCTGCAAAACTAATAACTGCATATTTATCTGGTCTTTTGTTTTATAAAGCTCCAGTATCTCTCTATAAAGTTGCATTTACAGTGGAATTTTGGGTAACATTCAAAAATGTATCCTGCATATTCCTGCTATTCTGCTTTAATTATTGTTTCTAATTATTGTTCTTGCAGTGGCATAATTCTTCATGCACAACAGTTTAACCTTTCTGGATTAAGTAAAAATCAAGGTATTCGATAATAGGTGTATTATAAATTAAAAAAAAAACGGTTTCTTACAATCTTACTATCTAGTAATTGGAATTTATCTCATTAAAGTGAATTGAATGAAGAAAATTTCAGATGACAGAAAGGTTTGAATTATAATTTATCAGTATTACTAATTTTTTACACGTAATATATTACACGTAATATATAAATAGTAAATTTGTAATTTCACCTTAGTAAATTTATAAATTTTTCCTCAGTAATATAAGATTGTGCAAATTAATTAATTTAAATTAAATTATTATTAATTTGTTTATTTTTAAAAATAAGTCGGGATCAACCGGTTATTAATGATTGGCCAACATTATCATCTCTATAGCGAATTTTTATATAGTGAATAACTTGCTATAATGAAAGTACAAGATCCTCAGTATAGTGAATGTATAATTTTAATCGCCAGTCAGTATAGACTGTATAATTGTCACGAGAATGCATTTGTATGCACGTGTAGACATCATAGAGGATGCACTTAAAAGAGATATAATAGTAAATTTTTTTTTCGTCTATACTGTAAAAAAGATCACAAGAAATAATTATTTTCGTCATACATAATCATGCATATTTTGACCTCAAGAAAGTAAGTCGTACAGGGTCAAGAACGTAATTTTTTGCGTTTTAAAAATTAAAAGAAAAAGGGCAAAATCTTTTAAAATAAAAGGCTAGAAAAGAAAAGAAAGAAAAGAAATGAGTGAGCGAAGTGCTTTTGTATAAAAATAAACAAATCAGTGAAGTTATCGCGCTACTGTCACGTAAACCCCCCGGAATTCCTAGAATTCCTAGTTATATGAACATTTGGGAATCACGTGAAATGTACAAATCAATAATGGTATAAATAAAGATTTTCTGAAAATTGAATAATTCATTAAAATTTTCGATCGGCGACTAAGACAACGAAATTTATTTTTAATAGTCTTGTTCGAACAGGGCTTGAAAGGCCTTTGTGAAGGACAAGATGAGTACATTAAGTAATAGTGACGATGTCAGTACTATAGCTGGTCCAACTGAGCAAGGTGCAGCAACCGAACTTGAGCCAAAAGCGAAGATCGAGTCCGGATCTAGTTCAATTGAAAACAATAATCACACTAAAATCAGTTTTTCCATATCGAAACCACCAGAGCACGTAAATTTGGGGAACGAAGATGTGGACAACCCACAAGAAACTGCAACACAGAGTATTGAACAGAATGTTACATTAAAAAACGAATCAACAGAATCTAATTTATCGGAAAATAATGGAGGTACAGGGGAAAATAAAAAAAAGCGAAAAAGAAGTCGCTGGGATCAGGCTGGTTCAACAACAGTAAAAGAAGCTCCAACACCTTCAATTGACTCAAATTCAACTCAAAGTGTAAGTGATGAAACTGCCAGTTATGCCTCCTCCTCCTCATTTACTCTAGTAAGACCCAGCACCAGCACCAGCACCAGCACTAGCACTACAACAACAGCAACTTCAGCGAATCCTACTCCCCCACAGCAAAGTTATACCTTTTCAGATAAAAGAAAATTTGTAAAATATTCGGATACTTATAAATCTGGTATGGTTCGTATCGGATCCAAATGGGTTTATCCTGAAGATGAAATTACAGATGGTGGTACATGGGAGCATAAAAAGAGAGCAGAAGAAATGAAAAAGACAGCGGGTAAGATAAAGATAACAATTGAGGGAAGAATTAACATTTAAAACAAAATATTAATAACTTCGCAAAAAAAGAACAAGCGGCTTTGTTAACTTCTCAAGCTGAGGCTAAACGTGCACACCATATCGCTGACTTTTTACCCAAGGAAGAACTTGAGAGGTTTGAACAAAAAGTTAAAGCTGTCAAAACTGGTGGTTCATCTCCAACATATGAAGATTATGCTGGCAATAAGTTGGATCCGTCAAACATTGGATTTAAAATGCTAATGAAACAAGGTTGGCAGGCTGGGTCCGGATTAGGAAAATCTGGGGAAGGTATTGCTGTTCCTATAAACAAGTATGTTATTTATAAATTATTATTTGAATTTTATTTTTTTATTTTTTTTTTTTTTTGACAATGATACATAATTTCGTTTTTAGAGCTGATAATCGACCAGCAAATGCAGGATTAGGACAAACGAAACCTGAAGGCGTTGAAGAAGAAGATGATGAGTTTGAAATTTATCGCAAGAGAATGATGTTGGCATACAGATTTAGACCAAATCCTCTGGTACGTGAACAACTTTTATTTCAATTACATGTGAAGAAGAATGTATTATTGTGCAATTTTGTCCTTCCCTTTCGGATATCCGATAGGCTTTCTATAAATATTTGTGCTCGACTTATAAAATTCGCTTTTTGTGTAGTATTATTTGCATATCGTTTTTGTGCACTACTAACCTTTTGCCCTTCCTAGAACAATCCCCGTCGACCATATTATTGAAACAGATAAAATAAATCTTTTAGGGACTTCTTTGTTTATTATTACACATACTTTTATTTTTGTTTGCTTTCTTTTGCCAGAAGTACAATTCCTAATAAATATTTTTCATTTCTTATTATATATATATATCATAGCATTTGTATTTAATTTATTTAGATTATGTTTTTTAATAAATTTTTTGGTTATTTGGTAGATTGGACTTTTTATATCTTAAAGTATTATTGATTGATTTATTTTATTAATTACGAAATTTAAATAAGTAAAATCTAAATAACATAATAACTAAATTTAATATTTGAATACAAGACAAACATGATCATCACCAGCAGTGACAATTTTTTTACCATCCCTAAAGTTTAATGAAAGAAAATATTAATATAATATTTGTGGAATATATAAAAAGAGAAAGTTTAACGATACATACTTTGAAATAGCAAATCCAAGAATAGTATCTTGATGACCATAGAAAGTTTTTTCACAATTACCGGTTCTACCATCCCATACACGTACAGTTCTATCAGCAGAACAGGTGGTTAATAAAGGAGAATCATGATGCCATTGAAGTTGTATTATAGCATCCTAAAAGGGAAAAAAAAAGTTAACATACTCATTCGAAAAAAAATGTAAAAAGTGGAAAAATAATAATAAATTTACATACATCATGATTACATGTTTGACGTAATCGCATTGTTGTAACATCCCAAATATTTAATTTACCATCTAAAGAACCCGTTGCTGCTAATGGTAAACTAATAAAAAATTTTGTAAGTTTATAAAGAATAAATTTCAAATATTAAATATTAATTAATTAAAATAAATAATTTACATATTTGAGAACCCAGCTGTTTCAACAGATTCAGTATGATCTTCAAATGATCCGAGAATCTAATAAAATGAAATTTATAATATGAAGTTACGAATTTAGTTTTGTATTTCGAAAAAAAATTTCATTTTTTTTTTAAAAAAAAAACAATGAATGACTTGTAACTTACATTTCCATTTGTTAAATTGACAAGTCTAGCAGAAGCATCAGAAGATCCAGATAATACTAATGTACTTTCTTTATTTACTGCTAAGCAAGTTATACCTTCTTTATGAAATCTTGCGTCTTCGCCTAAAACAGTTTGAATGTTAAAAAAAAAAGGAATTATAAAACAATCGTACAATCGAGCTTATAATAATTATACCTGATATTTTATAGATTGAATTGGCAGATTTCGGATCCCAAACTATTAATGAATTATCTTCCGAACCAGACACAATTTTTTTACCATCAGGTGTAAACTGTCCTGTTGTGACTGATGATGAATGTCCCGAAAATACATTCATACAATTACCAGAAGGTACTAAAAAATATTTAATTAATTAAAGTACTTTTTTTTTTAAAAAATAATAATAATAATTGGTATTTAATTTACCTTGCCACATCCATATTGTAGAATCATTTGCTCCTGCTAATAATATATTTCCCTTTGGATGCCAATCTAACCACTTATATATTATATATATATATAAATAAATATTTTAGAATAATTTATTATTTCAAAATTATTTTTTTTTCTTTGATTCACATACCACAATTTCATCAGGACCTTCTAATGATAAGATAAATTCTCTATTTTCAACTTTCCATACTTTAACTTTACCATCCATACCACCACTTGCTACATATTGACCATCTTTACTAAATAATGCACTTGTAACTGAATCAGTATGACCTAATAATCCATCATAATTTAGATATTGAATTGATTCAAGTTATTAAATATAAATATAAATATAAACATATATATATATATTTGTTTACCTAATAATTCAAATAATTTTTCTCCAGTATCACTATTCCATAAAAAACTTTTATCATCTCCACCACCAGATACAATAAGATTTTCATTAATTGGATTTATATCAATAGTATAAACAGAATCTATAAAATTATATTCAAATGATTCAAATGATTTAAATAATTTAAATGATTTAAATGATTTAATTTTAATTTAAAGAAAATCCAATTTATTTCCAAGATGAAATATTAAACCTTTATGATCAAAAAATCCTTGTATAGAATCATCTTTCAATTCAATCATTTCATTTTCAATTTCATTCTGTTGTTCATCATTTCTTTCATCTGAAAAATTTTTAATCAAAAATTCAAAAAAGAAATAAAAAATTTTTTTTTTTTTTAAAAAAAAAAATTTTTTTTTGATTAAATAATTCTTTTCAAATTCAAAAAAATTAAATCTAATTTTTTTAAAAAAATATACCTTCATCTTCATCCATAGAACTTTCAACTTCATTATTATCATTTAAAATTTGTTCTTCATAAATTTCTTCTTGTTCAACAAATTCGGAATTAAAAAGTGATGAATCCTTTTTTTTAAAAAAAAAAATCAAATCAAATCAATTAAGAAAATTAATTTATAATTTAAAATAATAATAAAGTAATTTAAAAAAAAAGCTTTTTTTACTTGTTCTGCCATTTTTTTATATTTTTTATTAAGTATCAATGTTAACAACAAAAAAAAAAAGGTTTTTAATACCTCACTCTTTTATAATTTTTAAATACGCGATGACAAATTCAGTGATCTACATTGATCTAGAATACAATCCGGGTAATTACTAAAATTCTAGAATGATTTGCAGGTAACATCGATTTACTAATTTAGCCTCCATTCTTTTTTTGATTGGTAGTCTATATTGATCATTGTATTAAAAAAAGTACTTACTGATTACTAACAATACAAATTTCATTGGAAATATGAAACCGCTAAAATACCGCTAACGCCGTTTTTACCGCGCTTACGGAGTTTTACCTTAACAGCTAATGTCACGTGAACCCAACTTATGTTTAATCAAATGAAAATAAACTTAGAACTTTAGATCCATTGTAATAAATCTCAACATTGTTATATCATTAGTATTTATTTGTTTTTTGAATTATGATTATTTTATATATTACTTGAATTAATTAAATTTTTAGGAATGCCAAAAAAAAAAGAAAATTATTCACAAGAAAAAAAATAATACAAGAAAGGAAAAATAATATTAATACAACTAATAAAAACGGCAATTTCATAGTCTTTGTATCATTCATCAACCTAAAATTCCGAAATTACTTAAATAATTATATCTAATCTCTTTAAATGTTCTTTGTATGTTAATTAATAATTAAATATTCTATGACATTAAGATCTAATACGATTTTTTTGTTGGTGTTGATGTAAATAAAAAGAATTTCTATTTGAAACTTTTGATTGTTCAGATGAAATTCTTTGATTATTTGCATAAAAACTATTTCTATTTCCGTTCATTGTAGAAGATGAATAAGGTGACATTGGAGGAGTTTGTAATGAATCTTTTGATCTTGAAGGTTTTACAATTGGAGGGATCTGCAATTGTGGTGTACTAGGTCTACTATTATGAGCACTGCTTGAACTTCCTTCACGTCTATGACTATGACGATTCATTACTTTTGAAATGTTATTTGCAGGAGAAAGCTTAGCGATATTACCACTACCACTAGGATTACTAAAACTAGCACTTCTAGTTCTCGAATATAGAGCATTGGAATCATTCATTATACTCATATGACGTAAATCATCTGATAAAGCAAGTAAAGTATCTTTTGCCCAGTAACCAGAATCTTGACGAGGACTTGGAGAAACACGTCCAACTGGGAGAGGTACATCATGCATAAATGAAATTGGTCTTTTTTTAGGTGCAAATTCACTATTACTTCTCTTTCTTGGTTGATGAAATTCTGGCTTAGGTGGTTGTAAATCTTCTGGAATATAGACTGATTTGGGACGAATATTGCGTGCATCATGAATAGGTTCACCCACATATGACATTCTATGCCCCATTCCAAGTGGACTTGAACTATATTGACTATGTTCCGAAATTTTTCTTACACGTGGAGAATGTGGAGAATGTGGGGAATGTGGAGAATGTGGAGAATGTGGTGGTGTTGAAGAATGACCGGGTGTTGAAGGACGTGAGGGAATTCCTTCAGGTGATCCTGAAACTATTTTTTTAAAAAAAAAGTTAGAATCACAATATATAATAACATTAAGTAATATGAAAAGAATTAAATACCATACCATGTTCAAGCCATGCTTCAATTCTTCCACCATTACTTTTCTTTGTAGTAATTCTGGGAGAAGCTATTTTAATTTTAGGAGTAGATTTTAAAGCAAGTGGAGTATCATCTTCACTTGATTCATCGTCATCGTCATCATCATCATCTTCTGATTCTTCTGAAGAATCATCTTCTTCCTCAACTTTTTCAAGACTTATAGCTTGATTAGCAACACTTTTAATTGGAGGTAACATTGGAGGTTGTTTTGGAGCTGAATCAGAATCATCAGATGATGAAGATCCATTCTTTTTAATTACTCCAGATTTTTGTGATTTAGATTTAGAACTTTTAGAATTTTTAGAATTTTTAGAATTAGCAGAAGAAGATTCTTTTTCATTTTCATCATCTTCTTCTTCTTCAAAATCTTGAGGATTAGATGATTTATTTGATTTATAAAATGAAGTAGGACGGGAACTAGCATTATTAGAATACGATGAAATCGGGCGAGATGGGGATATAACTGAATTTGGACGCGAAGCCGTAACATTGCTAAGTTTTGATGAACCATGAGGTTTTCCATTTGCATCTATTAAATTGATGTGATACGAAAAAAATAAGATAAAATAAAATAATTAATAAAAATTAAATTAAATAAAATAATAAAATAATAAAATAAATAAAATAAAATAAAAATAAAATAAAAATAAAATAATAATAATAATAATAATAATAATAATAATAATAATAATAATAATAATAATAATAATAATAATAATATAAATATAGTAATATATGTATATATATTACGTATATAATGTTAGGTTTTTTTGAATTTTTACCATTTATGGAAATTGGGCTAATTTATTAAAACAATGAGCGCGAAAACCATTCGTGTAACTTTGATCCAATTACCGAATTTAGTAAGAATAGTAATAAAAACAAACTTACCGGGAAGAGACTTATTTTGTTGAAGTATCATAGAAGTTCTATGACTTGAAGAAGCAGAAAAAGGCAAAGTATTTTGTAAATTTTGTCTAACTTCCAACATGGATTCTCTTACATCCAATAAAGTAGCAGGTTTACTACCACTACCACGTCTTTCTCTATCTTCAGGGATTATAATACTATTCCTTGGACTTGAAGTAGAAATTTGAGGAATACTTGGACGTCTAACTTCTTGTTGAGCTTGTTGTTGAGTCTGTTGAGTCTGTTGAGTCTGTTGAGTTTGTTGAGCTTGTTGATATAGTTGAGAAGGTAATATTTGTGAGGTATTATGTTGAGAATTATATTCTTCAACATTACCTAAAACTGGAGGAACTAATAAACAAGTTGGACGTGGTAAACGAAAAGCACCTCTTGGAGGTGTTTGAGTACCAAATCTTGTATTTCGGTTACGTTGTCTGAGAAAAATAGCACTATTTTCAGGAGATTCTGCATAAATATTTTCGGGATCCTCTTTCAAAGCTTTAGCAAGTTGTAGCCTTGAAATTATTCCAGCATCTTCTGATATCGCGTCAACACTCATTATTAATTATTTTTAAAGTAAAAAGAATGGGAAAAAAATAAAAAAACTTTTATAAAAAGAAACTTTTTTTAAATAAAATAAATTAATGGTTTTGATTTATGTGATTTATAAAAATTTTAAAAATTTCAAGGGGGAGTGAAATTTTATAGAATATATATCTAATATTTTAGAAGAAAGAAAAATTTTTAAAAAATAAAAAAAAAAAAGTAATATTTCTTAACAAAGTTTTGACTTTCTTTGTTAAGTGTTTTATATTATTTATATTTGTATATATAAATTTTTTTCTTTTTTTTTTTTTGTGTGAAGGTAAAAGTGCTTTATATATAAAAGGATTGAAAAGAGTATTGCCCGTGTGCGTGAATACAATAAAAATGATTATAATGCGGGGGGGCTGAATTTCTTTTTATGATGTGATATTTAATATATAGTAATATATAATAGAGATTTTTTTTTTTTTTTT